AGGAATGGGATGTTGTGGGTTTACCACCAGGACATGCTGGAGCTACAGCATCTGAGCAATGACCTTTGGGGAGGGATGGAGGAGCCCCAGGCCAGCAGCTATGGAGCAACCACAGCTGGGAAGGAGGCAGCAGGCAGATTGGCTCTTGTTTTATTGATTGTGTTTGCTAAAAAAAGTCAAGGTTATTTTTGACCTGACACTCAAAGCCATGTGGGCAGCATTCTAGAAGAGGTAGAAAGACACTGGAGCTTATTCCCAGTGACATGCACAGCCATGGCTTTCTGATAACTCAGCACTGCAAGACAGGGGTCCTGCTCCCCCAGGCCCCTCAAGTGACTTTACACTGGACTGTAAATACAACTTCACAACCTGTGTCCCAGCCTCCCAAATGAAGTCCATGAGCTTCCCGAGCCAGATATGCTTTGGTATGTTATTTAACACAGACACACAACACCCATAAAGGGAGAGACAAGAGAAGCAACAGTGGAAACAAATACATACACACACACTTACGTATAGGATAATCCCTCAGCCCAGCAGCTGCTTTACATAGAGTGCAACACAGGGAAATATCATCTTGAATTAGGTGCACAGGTCAATAAGGGACTTGGAGTCCTTTAAGCTACACAGACACTTCCCTTCTCAGGGACTCCCAGAAATGCCTCATCCTCTTTCTCTGATTTTTTTAACTTAGGAGTTGCACCCCTGCTCCTAGAAACAGCAAATCTGTCTCAGTTCACAGGCAACCCCAGAGATATACCAGGAAAACTATTTTCTTTGGTTCCCTATTGCTTTGGAAAGAGTAGTGTAACTTTGTGCTGACTGGGTTCACCTGAATCCACTTTAAAAACAAAACAAACATCTTATTCTGAAAGCTCAAGGACTCAAGCAGTGATTGCAGAATTGGCAGTGGTTGAAAGGAAAGCAAACCAGCCAAGCAAAGAAGCTCCACCCCTAAAACTTAAGTCCCTCTTCACATCCTTCAGTATCTCAACTAGTTCTCCCCCTTTTCCTTCCAGGGTTTGCTTGCCCTAGAAATCTTATATCCTGCCAACTGCTGTCAAAGTCCAAAACCTTCCCTTCCCCTCTGCCTCATTTCATTAACATGGCAGGAACACAGATGTTGGGTTCACACCAAATACAGATGTGACAGCTCCCAGCTCTGTCCTGGTCTCTGCAGTCAGGCTTTGAGGTATGAATTACAGTCAGTGAGTTACTCCCTCCTCCCTGCAAACCTCTCTAAATACACATTGCTGTGGCATTCCCCAGTTATTACAAAGGTAAGCTGCTCTTCTGCAAGACATAATAGCTTCAAGGCCAATACCATACATGACAAATTCTGAAGTGCTCACCATACACACATCCACCTGGCCTAATTTCCAACTTTTAATCCAGACCATATGAGATGCATTGCTGATGTAGATGAGATTGCTCACTTTTTTTTGGACGGGGAAACGGAGGGAAGAGGGTGTTTGTCTAAATACTCACTTCTTTCTCACATCTCTTGTCTGTTTGAAGGGTCCTTCTGGTCCAGGTCCCCTTGCACTTCACAGTTGCCTTTATACCACACCTTTTACAGACCAATCTAAGTCCACCTCAGGAGTAACTGGGGCTCTGCCCTCCCAACTCATACTGAAACGTTGCACTAGAACTCCCCTGCTCTTCTCATGTCTTACCTGCAAGCATTTTACATGCATTTTCTTATGTCAAAACTGTCTCTGCTTAAGCAGCTCTTTTCCTTTCCCAGCATTTTCTTCTCCTTCCCTTATAAGCAAAAGCCAGACCCACCCATTTACCATTTACAAGCTACACAAGGCCAGCTCTTCTAAAGCAGCATGTCTCTACCAAGCAGTGAAGTGCAAGGCAAACTGTCTCAAGTGCCCTGAAGAGATACTAACTCACATCCCAGAAGTGATTCAGATTTATTGCTCAAGCAGAGTCCTGCCGGCGAGGTTATTTTCCTTCTGGTTTCAGACCCAGCATAACTGGAGCTCATGCTTGATGACCTATTCAAGGACCACTGTGATAAACACTAATAGAAAACTGTTTTTTCTTTTCTTCACCAGCCTATTTAAGTCCCTTCTTGAATAAGGGTGACTTAAACCCCAGAGCAGTCTCTGGGTCTGCCTTGTACAACAGCATAAGCAACTATCCAGTCACACTGGAAACACCATGGCTTGCAGCCTGAGACCACACTGGCCTTTCTCACAGCCCCATCAGCCTGGTGGCTCCTTTTCACCCTGTAACTGAGCACTGCACCAAGCACTTATATTGACCAGGTTGTTTCCAACTGATGTGATTTCCTAGCTGGAAAACAGAAAAGCAAAATCTGAGAAAGCAAAACAGCAAAAGCCCCATTATATCCACACGTGAATTCATCCCACACCACATTAAAGACTCTCTCTTGGTTTTGCCACTGCAGCTCTTCCCCTTGGTCACCCTCATTTCATTTTCTGTTCTCACAGTCCCAGCACTGTGCCACCAAAGTCCATGAGCACACTCCTTCCTTTTGTGCAAGTTTCCTCAGCAAAAGCAGGAGCCAACATCATCTTCAAGGAATCCCAGAGGTTCTCTCCTCTTTCAACATCTCCCACCACCACTTCTCCATTATCCAGCTGTTCACCTACAAACAGCTGGGTTAGTCTGTCTTCTCCAGAAGAACAAGCCACTATGATGTAATGCAGCACCATATTAATCTCTCAGCACTAAGTCATATCTTTGCTGAGGAAGCCAGTTACCTTTCCAAAAGAAGAGAGAGGTTACCCTGACAAACACTAACCCTACATCATATCTCAGCATCCCTGTACCTACAGCCATGCCTTTACAACTTGTTGAAAGCTTTGTGGACCACTGAAGTCAGACCAATTGTCAATCCACAGCTTGCATATTGTGTCCCAGTTAAGAGCAATCTTGTGGAGCCCCATTTGGCAGCTCTACAGATCACAAGCACCACATCTCACTCACAGACCCCCGGGCACCATGTGAAGCCAGTGAGGCTGCAGGTGTCTTCGCCCCCGCATCACAGAGATCAGCAAACTTGCTGGTGACCATATGGT